TACTTATTTTACTAGAATTACATTTACTTATCTTACACGAGTGTAACATTGTCATACACAGAGTTATTTCTTTTTTATGTGTCTTAAATAGATCATAGGCCTACATGACTCAGTAAAAATTTAAATTTCTATAATTAGGGATAGTACTACCTAATAACCAGGCAAAATAATTCGAGAAATAGTGCCTGATATTTCAAATTAAGGGGCTCAAAAAAATTTAATATTGTCATTCTTCAGTATTGATTGAATCAAAAATTATGTCAAGGTGAAATGGTGTGAAATGAAAGCAAGCATGATCCCAGCCCTCTATATTAAATGGTATCGGTACAGCTGAAGGCCTACCTCATATAAAAAAAAAGTATGTTCTGAAAGCAATAGGCCTATTTAGTAAATATTATGTACTGGCAATGTTACTTTTTCTAAAGGTGTAATACATGACATCTAAAATATCTCCAGTCCAATCATTACGTAATTTTCCTGCAACACTCTCACGAAGTATTGAACTGAATTTACCACTTCCATTTTGACATTCTTCAGATATAGATAGACTTGTAATACTTGTTTTAGTTTACATAAGAATTAGACATCCAGTCGCACATGATAATCTACCAATAATGAAAAAAGAATTCTGAAACGCGTATAAAATACTATGAAGATTTCAAGATTTCCTTTTTTAGTAAAAGTAGGGCTACCGTAAAATTTTTAGAGTTTTTGACCTCGTTCTTGAAAACGCTTTTAGCTCTTTAAACACTAAAATGCAAGATTCTTGGCGGATTTTGACAAAACTTGGTTTTTATTATTCAGTACCATGCTGAAGGTTGAATATTTGCCTTCTAGAGTTTTCACGAGCTAAAAATTGAACACATTTTCAAGAACAAGGGCAATAACTGATACTCAATATTATTCAGTATCGCCCTAAAGAGTTCAAAAGAAGTGTATGACTGAAGGTTGAATATTTCATACTGGTGATTGTTACTGTACTGCTAAATATTTTTATTCAAAATGAAAGCTGTCAGTTGATTTATGGTATAGAATTTGGACATTCAAAACAGTAGGTCCCGTGAAAATTTGCTTAGGAAAAAAACAAAAAAATTCGTAGAATTGGGCATCCCGTCGGTAGAGCGGTGGACAACATGCAAAATCTGATAACATCGGTAGACTACACATGTATGGACATAATTGTAATATAGTAAGTGATTGTTATGGTATTTTTGTTTATTTTGAACAAGTGTTAAATACTTTTAAGCAATGTGTCATTTGTCATTCTGTCCAGTTACAAATTAAATATCCAAGGAATTAAATAGCAATATCCAAGCTGTTGTTTTTCATACATTTTTGTCATAACACTTAAAGCTTCTATTTGCACCAGTTCAATTTTCAGTTTGTGCAACTGAAATGATCTTTGGAATGGTGCGAAGAAAAGCTATTTTTTACATATGGCACAATGCCATATTAGAATGTTGACATTCTTTATTACGATAATTTGCACAATGAGTGGTCTTTCTTATTTCAACTGAACATCACTTTTTAGTTTATATTGTAGAATATATTCCTTTGAGGACTGGATTCTTTGCATATTTGTACTCCATATTGAATCTGTTTACTGGAACAGTTTTAATTTTTGTGAAATACAGGAAAAAATTCTTTATTATTTAAATTTGTGTTAGGCAATACAAAATAAATAGTCTGTTTTACAGGCCCAAAAATGCCTGAATGTTGCCTTCATATTAAATGTACATTAAATTTGTGGTAATGAATGCTTTGGTTCGCTCCAATTTATTCCAGTTGAAAATCTAAAAAAGGGCTTATAAATAATCAATATTAAATTCGCCCTCTCACCCAGATTTTTTTAAAAAAAGGCCTGTAAAACAGACTATTTATTTTGTATTTTTTATGTTTTTTCATCTTTATTTAATGGTAACAAATTTAATAGGAATAATTTGAACTTTACTTCTAATTTGTGTGTGACTAGAAAAAAAATAATTTATAGATTTTACGTAAAATATCTTGCAGTTTATCATGTGGGAATTTTGCCAGTACAGCTCTAGATGTTATAAAAAGCCTTTCACATATTGAGGGAAATTAACCATGCTCAGCCTGTGGAACACAGATCCCAATGTAAAGATTAGATGCCGTTGCCTTGGTAGCCCCTTACACATGCATCACTAACAATGGCTAACCTAGGTTGTAAAATGATAAATACTAAATTGAGACAAATCTATTAAATTAAAAATTGAAATTCATTATTCTGGAAAGAGTTATAATAACATAAAAACAATTAGAACATCTTAGATATTAGATTAGTTTCAAGATATCACTTAAAGAGAAAACAATGTGACTTTGTTTTTCTGATTTTACTTTAAGAGTTAACAGATTGATAATTTAGATTTTAAGAAAACTATTTTCAAAATAACTAATCTAATAAGGAAGATTTATTCTTTCTTTTCTTAATGTGATAGGCAATACTTGAAAAATTATGGTTCTCTTTTTAGTTATATATAATTTATATAATGTCTCGGAGCAGTGAATATAATTTAGGTTATACCTAGTCATTGCCAGTGTTTGGATTATATGTTTCAGGGATGAAAAGAACAATTATGTTTTGTGATCTTTTGGATATGCTTTTTGACAAATACATTATTTTTTTTCGCTATAGCTTGGATTTTCCGGATTTATTGTTTAAATGACTTTTATTCTAAATGCAAATTGATGGTTGACATAATCGATTATACTGACCTTTTATTTGCTTAGTCTAACAATATCGCATGCAACAATTAATTGAATACTTGACATCAGATTAAAGCATTTTGTTCTGTAATTGGTTTGGTCAATAAAACAGAAGAAAAAAACTATGATAAAAAATTCAGTAGAATGACATAATATTCTCAATGGCAAATTGAAGATCTAATTGGAATCATCAGCTGTCAAACTGGAGAGTTGGAATGGTTGTAGCAGAAGTCAAATTTGTATTCAAATTGTAAGGGAATAGAGCAGAGACTTTGATCGCTTGTAATCAATATTGAGAGAGTCTCAGTCTTTGTTGGAATATTGTCATTGGAAGTCTGGTCTGAAATTTGTCTTATTGAAAGTGTGAAATCATAATGTAGAGATTTAAACATGGGAAATCATAATAGTACATTTTGTAGTTGTATTGTGTGTAAAAAACATAGTTTAGTTGGATCACAGTCATTGGAACTAAATAATACTGAAAGGTAGGCGGCTTATTTTACTATCTCATTTTACTCACTCTAGTCTTGTATAAGTTCTTGTTACCAGTATGAATGGAGTTTTATTCCTCCATTACACATGATTGGCATCAGTTTGATAGACAAATTGTTGAAATGTTTAGAACTGTACCTATTCTTATAATATATTATAGAAAGTACCACAATTTGCATAACCTCAATAATATATAGTTAGCCATGATCTTTAACCTAAACTTACCATATCAGATGTTTGGTTTTCAATATTGAAATGTTTTGTTTCCAAATCCTTTTTTTCATCCATAAGCTATCTTTATGAAGATTACCTTTGTTCATACTGCACATAATACATAGGCATATAACAAGTCTGTTTGACATTGCCCTCTTTAAACAAATGATGTAGAAAAGAAGCCTCAAATCATTGTATATAACGAAAAAATATTTGAAAGTTTGGTTGTCCCAACAATTGAATTGGAGATTCAAATGAGAGAACTTTCCAACCCTTCTTTAAGAAACAAATTATATAAGACATGCTGTATAGATGTGTTGAAACTATCTTTTAGCTTTGACATTATTTCTGGGTAATTGATAAAAAATACCATGTTGTCTGACACTTCTTCTAGATAGGCAGAATTAAACACCACTTACCTTTGACATCTTGTTATTTTCTTCAAACTAACTACCTTAATTTGTAATGCTGTTGAAACTTCCCCAAGGAAAAATAGGTGACAACTTAATGATGGTGACAAATTTAGAATCGAAGATTCAGTGAAATTCAGTGATGTAATATATTTTGTAGTTTATTTTGAAGTCCAGAGGATCTTGGACATGTTTAAATTCGTTGATAATTATTGATGTTTCAACTCTTGCTACACTGAAAATATGTTTAAAGTGGTTTGTGAACATGATAGAGGCAACAGTTTATGTCAGAACTTTATAATGATTTGGTGTGTAGGGATATAGTCACAATATCTTAGACAAGTTGGAATTTGAGCAAGATTTGACACATTTTAACAGAGTTACAGTCCTTATTATACCATTCATATTCTGAGTAGAGAAATTCATATAAAATAGGTTAGAGTGAATCTGTGAATTTTTTTATGATTTTCCTAAAATAGAAATTCTATGATTTCAAGTATTAACGAAAAAAAAAATCATCAACATTGTATAGATAATATTGGTTCTGAGAAATAAACTGTTCTATATATATTAATGGCATCAATGTCCATTAGGATAACACTCTTCTACTCTGGACATCAACTTAATTGGACAAGCTGGGCTTCATTATGGTTTGTAGTGGACAAATATATTACATTACTATGATTTCCTTTAGTAACTGACCATTGTGACTATTTGATTATGGACTAAAATTAGACTGAATTGAGTTAGTTTGTAGTTAATTTAAAAATAAGGAATTTATATTTTGTAAACCTACTGTTATTTGTATTCTTCAAATATCCAATTAAAATGCACTACCCACATCACAAGACTGTTGAAATTATTCTATTCATATAATTCATATCTGATTGGTCATATTTTTACAAGTATCAGGATTCGATTACACCCAGTTTGGTAACAAATTATTGTAAATTTCTGTCCTAATATCATGGATCTTCCATATATTTTCCTTTAATCTGAACTGATCTTGTTCTCACACATCATGAGTTAACAAGAAATAATAAAACTGAATTTAGTATTTCCTTATCACTCTACAATTGGTGTATTAAGCACTATTTTAACAATGAAAATATTTAATTATTGTATTTATTAACTATATTTATTATCTTATATTTCAGTCATAAGAGTCAGTCTACATCATGGATACCACCTAAAGAAAACTGGGATCCTAGTACTGGTTTACCTTATGGTTGGGAAACAGGAGTTGATAAAAACAATAAACCATATTTTATCAAGTAAGTTATTACATTGCAATTTCTTTACAGCAAGTCACTCAGTTCAGAAAGTAAATGATTATGCAAAATTCCAGTCATAAATGATTATGCAAAATTTCAATAGTAAATGATTATGCGAAATTCCATTAGAAAATGATTATGCAAAATTCCAGAAGTAAATAATTATACAAAATTCCTGTAGTAAATGATTATGCAAAAAGTAAATGATTATGCGAAATTCCAGAAGTAAATGATTATGCAATGATACAAATATTCTGATGAAGGAATATTCAGATAGTATATTGTATATAAGATTTGAACAACATTTAGAAGTGAGGACAACCTGCAGAATGTAATTGTCTTGTCTTTCTGATAGGTAATTATATATATATATATGTTTAAATGTTGGGTGGTTGATTTGAGTCTTGAATACTTGTAAATAGTCTTCAGAAGTATTAGAAATGTATGAAAATCACATAATTCCTCCAAAAATATCTTAAACTAGGAATTTCTTTTCCTATTTCTATATATATATGGCAGTGTCTCAAAATAAGACGACTTGGTTTGGGCATAGATCACTTTTTAGTACATGCATATCAGTTGCCATTTCCTCTTTTTAAATTTGCTCTAATCACTTTTATGGTATTATATTTGCTTTACCAGCAAACTGAGCAATGTCTAGGATGAAATCCAACATCTGGATCGTCTGCAATAAAAGAAGACATTACTACAGTTTGGTTCTAGCTGTATTTAACATTCTGTCATACAGATATAACTAATTATAATAATATCAGTGAAATACTTCACAATGTCTAGCTATTATGTACTATGTCTTCATTCAGCTCTTTGATTTATAGACTTTCTGTTGAAGGCTCTGATTTGCTGTATTGTGCAATCCAATTGAATTTCTGCGTTCACAAATTTCCATGATACAAGAAAAGAGCCTAAATAAGTCAAGGTGTTACATGAAGTTTGAAATAGCTTGACTCTGTGAAGATGCTGTAACAATAACAGATAATGTTATTAAAAGCCTTGTGCTGTATTCTGATTTAAGATTTTACTTAAACCTCAAATTCTTAACTTGATTTTTAAAAAATTACCAAATGTCTCAATAAACCTGGAAAAAATTTCAATCTCATGTTCAACAATTCTTTTATTTAATAGCCTGTTTGTCTAGATCTACATCCTAGTTTTAAATCTAGAAATTTTTGTTTGTTGCCAGAAGGCATGATTTAAGCTTCTGTAGTCATCTTATATTTCACTTTGACATCCGATAGAAACTATTCCTGGTTTTTATATAACTTCCTGTTCAGAGAACAAATCACTCAGATAATAAATACTTCCTCCGTGAAGAGAAGGACATGCTCAATTACAAACTGTAGATATTCTTCTTTTATTGTATTACCCAAATCAATTAACTGTAATAGCTGGGAGTGAATGCTATGAATGCGGTATGGCTTATTTTAATATTTTATTTCACTTTCAAATCAGATTTAATCCCGACCAGACTAGACAGACACATGTCAAATTAACAAAATTTTCCAGGTTAAATGCCATGTTTGATAAGGGGAGTCTGAATTTCTAAGTGGGATTCTAGAAATATCAGACTAGATTTATATAGTTTGAGCTGTAAAAATGACAAAACTTCCCTTATTTACCAGACAGGCTGATCTTGCTGCCTAAATGTTGTGGATAATGTTTTGATGGTAAGATGAGCTCTAATTGTCCAGACATAACTTGTTGATAGAAACATTAGGAAATCACTTCTTACTTTGTATGGTAAATTTTTTACTTTCCCATTATATTATCAAAATTTTAAGTTGGCTTTACTTTTACCATGAAACTCTTGAAGTCTTCATAGTTTATCATAATAATCATCAGGCCTATAAAACGTAGATGTTGTTGCACATGCTATCACTAGATTATCATGTGAGACTGGATGTACAAATCTAATTTGATCTGTAACATTTTAATATATAATCAGTAATAAGTAATTGACTGTTGCCTGCAAACATTCAGATGTGGGATTATCAATTTTACAAGAGATTATCTAATTGATGATTAGTGATTAAGTTGAGTAGATGTCTGATTAAACAGCTTTATTTGTTAAGAAACAACAGTTTGTATTGATATAGACTTCACTGACTTCACATCACTTCACATGACATCACTTGGTAACGTTACCTGTATGTGTAATGAAACGTTGTGTTCAATAATAAATATAAGTCTATATCCATAAAAACTGTAGTTTCTTAATGTGCTGTGATACTTCTAAATGTCTTACAAGGATTAGCTTTATTTGTATGTTGGTTTTATTTATTAATGACGGAATTTGTAATATACAGAATATAGTAGTACTAAAAGTCTTTGAAAATACTCAGATGTAAGAATTCACAGAGTACATTGTACTTCAATTAATCAGTTTCTCTTATGTCAATATTACAATTTTCATATCAATTGATGAACATATCGTAATCTTAGATGATAACCAGTTTTTGTCCAGTTTAGCAATATTATGTCCTTGATTGGATTCAGTTTTCAGATTCAATCTTGTCATATTAACAAACATAGAATCTTTTTATATGGACTCAGACCAGTAATTCATTTGATATCTGTCTCCATTTTAAATCAAGAAATTCAACCTTCTACAACTTTTTACAGAAATCTTGTTGAAAACTTTCTAATATGTTGAATGAAAGCCTGGCCAATACTTCTGGACAAAAATTCAATATATCATGACCATGAAAATCTTGAGCTAATCAAAATGAAAGTAGACCACTACATTTTATCAACATCTGCTTGATAGTCACTGCACATAAAACATCTATTTTCAGAATTATCCTTTTGCATGAAAATCTCTCATAATCTCACAAAAATCTGAAAGGAAATGCTATATCAGACATCATATTCCTAATCTAGACCAAAAATTTGTCAATAATAGGCATGCAAAATCCCCAAAAGGGAGGGAGAAAGAGGATTTCTAAAAATAACACAGACTACATTCGTATACAATCATAAAATATTTTACATAAAATATTTTAGTGGTCTGAGTCCTGTATAGAAGAAGGAATTCGGTGAGAGTACATATCTGGTTTGAGATTTTACATTTGAAAATGACAGACTTCCCTTCTAGAAAATTCATGTCAAGATAACCTAAATTTCAAACTCTGTAAAATCATATTTACAAACATCAACTTTTCCAGTGCTTAAAATTTCCACCAACCAAAAGGCAATCCAAGACTCTCAGTAGTATTTTGTAATTGATATTTCAATTCATAGAGTGATAGACAATATTCAATTCATTAAACATTGTAGTTAGAGAATAATGTATGGTAGCTCTCTCTCTTATCAATGATTTGAGACCATAAACAGACATTTATCACTCTACTTTCTTCATAGAAACCTCCACTGTTGGTTAGTTTATAGGTCCAATAAAACAAACTCTCTTTTTCTTGATATCATATTGGTTATTTACAATTTACAAATAGTCAATAGAAGCCCAAGCTTAAGATCATTGCTGAAAGTGGAGAGATTTGATTTTTGACTTACTGATTCAATATCTAGAATTGAAATGCAAATTGAAATCTTGGTAATAAACTTTCAAAATCTTTTAAAATCTAGCTTTTACACACACTTACTTCACCATGACAACATAACATCTTGTGAACATGTTAAGAAGTACATATAAAGAATACAAACTACAGGATTAGAAGATGAAATCACAAGAGGCTAAGCTGTCAATTTACAGGAGACGGGAATCAATGAAATAGAGAAAGAAGGGTCAAACCTATAGGACATATATCAATAGAATATTGACTACTGTATGTTATATTGGCTACAGACTGTCCATGGTGATTACTATTCCATAACTCTTAACATGACTATCTACTATTATCTTTCCATGTAGTTATTCCCTAGGTACTCTACCATACAAATACAATTTAATTGCCTAGCTTTGATTTATTACCTGCTTAATTTTCCATGAATATCAGTATTTGATCTGATCTAATGTGTGAATTTTTAATGTTTTTTTTTATTCCCATTTCAACCATCATGATTTAGAATGGTTCTTTCCTTTTCCAGTGTTGGCATTACAATCATATTATTTCATAGTTATCTATATTTTACATATTGAACATCATTGATATAGCATTTATATAAAATAAAGAATTTAAGTCTGCTTTCACTGCTCTATTACCTGAGCCAGTGCTTTCATTAAGATTCTTCTCAATACACCCTGATAACAAATATAAATTTACTTGTGAATAAAATAACACAGGGATGCATTTTCATTTACTGGCATGTCTATCAAATGATAGTTCTACATGATGGTGAATTGTATAGAAATGCCTCATTAAGTACAAATACTTATACAAAATCATGACGGTGATACATACTTTTATACGCCCACATGAAATAGGTGGCATATATTGGCATCACCCATGTCTGTCCATGCGTCCAGAATTGCTTGTAAACTCTAGAAGGCACAATTCCAAAATTTTGACAAAACTTGGTATGGTTGTTTGTAATCACCTAAAGATGAACCCTATTGAAATCAGTAAAAAATTGACAATTCTTGAGGAAAGTTTGTGTAGGTGTTTGAAAAAATTTAAAAAATATTTAATGAGTGTTACCCTTTTCAATTTTTAGCTTGTAAACACTCTAGAAGGCATGATTCTCTACTGATTTAGGTGAAATTGTTTATTTTCACCCGTATATCAACCCTGTAAAAATAAAAAAATTGAGAACTATTTTATATGAGTTATTGACCTCAACAATTGTCTTGTTGAATTTTAATAAAACCTGGTAATATTATACAGCATCACCCCTAAAAGTTTAAAAGAATATGACTGAAGATTGAATATTTCATTCTGTTACTGTATTGCTAAATATTTTTATTCAAAATCAAAGCTGCCAATAGGCATATATTACCTTGCCTGGTAAGCTATCTTTTCATAATAAAAGAGATGTTTTCTTTTTTCTTAACTTTGTTATTTTCAATATGATACAATTATATTTCA